TAAAACAATAAGGAAAAGAATTGTTATGCAAGATTTAGAAGAATGCTGACGTCTTTAAATCAAAACCATAATTTTATTATCGATACATTGATGACATAATATTTGTAGCTCCAGCAGAACAAATTAGTAGTATTTTGGATTTGTTTAATGATTACAATGATTGTCTCAAATTTATTATAGAATAAGAGTAACCATTGTTTAAGTGTTTGCCACTGGGAATTACAAACAGCACGATATATATTACGACTGGTTTCATATACAGAAACCTCAGGCAGATTGCTATCTTATTTTTCCAAACATCCATTAGCCATAAAATAGGTACTATTTATAATTTATTAGGTTGTGCTATTTTACTGTTATTGTACTGTATCCTATTGTACTGTATTCCAAATAGCAATCCCTTTCCTTATTATTGTCTTATAATATACGAGATTGACTTTTAATTTTTATTTTAAGTTTTTTGATATATAGAAAGAAATACAAGTATATTCAGATTTTATATAAGGCTATATTTTATATAGAATAAGATATTTATAGGGTTTTCTGAATGGATACAAAATAAGATTCCTTTATTTTGATTTAATACAAAATAAGATTGCTCCATTTTGATTCAATGATATATTTAAAAATTAGTAACTGCATTAAAAGAACATAGAACTTTGCATTAATTTATTGGACAATAGTTACTCTCTCGAACTTGTTTTTAACAAAATTAACGCTAGATTAGATAAATTGATTAACAATAGATTTAAAATTTCGCATCAGTTGCAAATTGAGGATTGTTCTGATATCTGGTCATTGATGATTCCAGAAGTAGGAAAATTTTAGTTTTCCCATACATAAAGAATATTTCAAAAATAACAACCTCAATCATGGACAAGACAGAATTTATGATGAACTATCAATGTTTGAACAAGTTTAGTAAGTTTGTCAAGGCTATAAGGATAATATATAGGATAATACTATAAGGATAAAAATCATCTCTCTGCCAATAATGTGATTTACAAAATTTTTTGCAAAAATTGTGACGCTTATTCATATGTTAGCTAGATCAAAAGGCAAGTAAAAATAAGGGTCGAAGAACATAGGAAGAACTTTAAATTAGAACAAAACATTCGATTATTGCAGAACATTGCTCAATTTGAATCATACATTTGATTAAGACAATGTGAAAATTTTAGATTTTGAACGTAATTATTATATAAAGAGATTAATTTCGGAGATGATTTGCATTAAAGAGCAGAAAAATGGAATCAATTCTAACAAAGACACTGAAATGTTAAGCAGTGCTTATTTTAATATTCTTGACAAGCTTGCTAATAATAAATATTAGATACAGTGCCCTAGAAACAATATTTATAATTTCTTATCATTTTCCATCTTATTCGTTATCTGTCCATTTTACATTCGTGACACACATATTTTATATATATTCAATTCTTACATATTCTAATAAGAGGCTATCTTAAACAATTTGATATATTCTTTTGACATCAACGTAAGTTTTTTAAATTCATTTGACTAGAACTGTCTAATTAGTTTTTGGATGTAACAATTCATCTACACTTTCTTATTTTTTACAAATTTCTGAGATTCCAGAAATCTGCGTTTTTTACCTCTTACAGAGGATAATATTACATTTAACACTTGACTAGTTAACACTACACATTCTTTTGAATTTCAATCCACTGAATTAATTTATACATGTATACGTTAAATATAAAATTGTTTAATATTATCATTTTACATTGAATCATAAAATCTACTTTGTTACTAACTAATGGAAAAAATGAGACAAGAGATGATTCTTGTAATATTTAAAATCTGAATTTTTTATTAGGTAATATATTTCAACAATGGAGAAATTATGCTTACTTTATATTTCTAGCAATGAATCCAATGCGATCGACAACTTTCCGGGGCGATGAGGAGTCAAGATTAACACGTAATGAAGATCACAATACTTATTCAGTTTTACGTTCAAGAACCGAAGAAGAGAAGCAGAGGCGTAGACGAGAATGGCAACGCCAGCAAGAGCGAGAGAGACAACATGAAAAATTGAAGCAGCAAAAGATTGAGGAGTATGAAAGGAAACGCGCACAAGCTTTAAAATATGCTGAGGACAAATCTTCGCGTCATAGTCGAAGCAAAAGTAGTAGTGAGTCTCCCGCGCATCATCAATACAGAGGTAGATCTACATCAACTGCTTCCAAATCCGGTAGTCTGCATGAAAAGTGAGTTTACGACATATACAAGTATATGTCCGTATGATATTTGATAAGGTAACTGGAACTTGAAAATATCTGAAAAGGATATTTCAACGACATGAATTAAAAAAGTAAAAAAGATAATTGGTAATAATTTCTTTTTAGAGAAAATAGTTTAATACAAAAAATAGTATAAACAATAATAGAAAAATATTTATATTGAAAGTATTATTCCATTTGTTTATTGTTTATTAAAAATTGTTCGACCAATATATTATTATTGGTTACTTATCATGTCAATTTTACAGTAATATAGATGATAGTGATGATATTTTTAAAAGAACATGACATTTTATTAACAAAATAAAAGAATAAAAACATTTTTTTTAATATGAGCAAAAAAGAACATAATTCTTTAGAAGGATATTAAACAATAAAATATCTGGTTATTTTAATATAAAGTAAATAAATATAAAATTTAACACATTATGATTAAATTCTCTTTAGATTAGATGGGCCTACAAGTGGGACAGTACCTTTGTTCAGAGGTCCTCAGAATGCACAGATTAATACTATGGAACTCCGCCGAATCAAAGTTGATATTCATAGGAACATTCCTGTAAAAGGACCTGTTACTGAAAGATTAGAAAGAGATATACTTAATCCTGAAGATGTGATTGTCAAAAGAAGAGAGGGTAAACTGTTACATTTCTCTAAAACCTTTGTTTTAGAGAAATATGTTTCTCTAAATTCTTATTCTTTGCAGAAACTTAATTATTGTCTAGCACTGCAATGAATAAAGAATGGTGTTACAGATAAAGCATTGGCAGTAGTCTGCAGTAATAATAATAATATATCTCTATTGTAGCACTAAAGTTTTTGATATATTGGCACTAAATTGACACATCGATAAGTTTATTCCTTTCACCACTATGAAGAGTTTACTATAAAAAAATTAATAATGTACTCCATGAAGATAACATCAAGCAAGAAAAAATTTGTAATAATGAAGAACATTTGTGAATCTAGAAAAAAATTTGTCAACGCGAGAAAGGTACTTTATCCATTATTTTAGCATGACCTGTGATTTTTCCATAAAAGATATAAGGCAAATATTGAAGCAAAAACTTAAAATGTTCTTATAGAAGAATCTTCTATGATTCAGATTCAACAGTATGTTTAATTACTCAAATAATTTTCAAAGATTATCCAAATAATATATTGCATGTTTGGTATATTTTTAATATTTTCTTAATGCTTTCAAATTGCAAACATATACTTTATTCAAAGAATAATTAATTTTATTTAGATTTGTAATTTATTAATTTTTTCATTTAATCAAGCATCTTATATATTTATATTTAAACGAAATTTTATTTAATTTCAAGTTTTTTTGTTGAAAGAGATGATATAATTTAATATAATTATGTCACGTGCATTCTTACATAAAAAATTATGTAAGAATTTGTACATTTTTAAAAAATAATTAAATCATCTTTAATTGCCATAAAAATATTTATGTATTGGAAAATTTTGCTTCACAGAAAATATAATTATATCAATGCTGCAAAAGCGATGAAATAAACCAAAGAAAATCGACACTGAAGATAAACTTTACGAAGAATGGAAAAGATCATGATGCATCATGGAAAAAGATATGCAGAAACAGGTATGAAACGTCTTCTTTTCATGCTAAGAACGGACTTGGTTTACAAATGTTATTCTTATCTCATTCATTCATTTATATCTTTTTATATTAGTCTCTGCGTACACTATAGTCCATATATTACTCCATTACCTGCCTCTCAACTAAAATACATTTTTATTTACTATTTACTTTTTATTTTATACATTTAAATATCAAAATAAAACATATCTTTACTTCATAACTTAAATTAACTCCCCTACTATCACAGATAAATTGCACGCTCATTCCTTGCTCCTAGTACTAACTCTATATTATCTCTCTCTCTCTTTTAACATCTATTCTATACTTAAATCATTTTTTATTTATTTCTTCCTCCTTTTTAACATTATTTCCCTTTCCTTACTTACTTTCTTTAACACCTCGTTTTTATCGTATCTAATTCCTCATTCTACATTCTAGCCCACATTTCTTTTTTAGCCTTAACTAACTCTTTAAACCAATTATTTGTACTCTGAGTGCTTATTGTTTTAATATGATCGAAATGTAAAACAGAAGACTCATTGATGAAATTTTAATATTTTTTTATATATTAAATTGATATATCTGTTTAGTACAACAACAATATGATTAAATATTCTGTATATATATATATATATATATA